CAGTTCGGCACTAATGGGAGACAACTTTGCAGGCGATGCGGGCATTAGTTCCCGGTAAGGCGCAAGTCACATCACAGCTTTGTTTGAGATTTTGTTTTCTTCCGTTCCCTTTGTCTATTTCTTCAGTCATTAACATCACCAGCGCGCTTTCCCTATTATTTCCACCATCGGTGTGCGGCACGGCGTACTTGGAAATCACTGCTTCACTACTTGAGAATCACTTGCAACCCATGTTGTGGGTGCGTATATTTGAGAATTGACTCTCTACTGCCTAACTGCCCGATATTCTTTAAGCATAGTTGTTTTAATTATTGGCGCAACCGATTCGAATGTTAAAATTTGAGGCATGTGCTCAGCCTTGCTTGAGCGAATGTTGTTTTCTTTCATTAAATGGTGTCAGAATTTATAAGGGACAAGCATATTTATAAAAGATTCATCTGAATAAGGAAATGACTATTATATAAAGACGTATGTTTATTCGGAAGCTTGTTTCTGATTGTTTACTGAACTGAAACTCTGAAACCCTCCTCCGTTAGCAAGCCCTGCGGTGCGAAGGTCATTGCGCTTCCGTATCAGTGCCAAGTCGTAAACGTCATAGAATTTAAAATAAGATATATTCACAACCTACTGACTGGCACAGCCAATTTTGAACGTCCTGTTGGGTGCTGTATCGCCTACACAGTCTACATATTGAGTGAATCAATTAAAAATACCGCTAATACCGCACGCTAGCTGTGTTAATCCAACTCGAAAGGAACCGGTAGAAAGTAGTTTTAAGGTTTTGAGGCAAGTACGACTGAAATCAACCCGATATTCAGTTTCTTGTAGGAAAATTTCTCGTCCTGACAAGATGCACAGGGCGCCTAGGGTTAAGGTTAAATTATTCATGGTCGCAGAAAATAATGTGCGAAAAGAAACCATAATATTTCAGAAAAATATTCAATACGCAGGCCAGCTGGTGTAAGTTCATAATGATGATGAGGATTTAGACTCAGGTATGCTTTTTTGTCACTTTCGCTATCAATCTTTTTTAATGATTAGTGATGCCCAAAGCTCAATTTAAGGCTAACTCTTTATATGTGCATTTATAAATCACAACTTGCCGTGCCGACGCGGTTTCGCCGGATGCAGTAGTTGCATTTGAACGTGCTGGAACCGGATGGCCATAAAGACGTTGAATTCTTCAAGGCCCTCGTTTAGGCAGCCGCAATTTAATTCGCGCTTGCTGCCGCCAGCACAAGTAAAAAATTGTTGCTTGACAACGAACTGGGCGGAGCACGTTCCGCCCTCAACCATTTTCGGCGCCATCCTGATCACAGAAGTAAATATTCTTATTGCAAGCTATAGCTTCATCAGCTATTCCCCGGGTACCTCTTATAGACATTTGCAAGATGGGCTACGGGGCGCTTCCATCTTGAATGATCGTGGCGCCGCCTAGCGTGCGGCGTGCCTCCGAGGGGCTGGTGTGGGTAACTTTGCCAATCGTCCAGCAAACCCGATGTGAATGCTGTGAGCGATTTCCGCTTTTATGTGTTTTGTTGACTTTTAGTAACATGTTATCGCTTTTAGTTGGTGGCTAGTTATCCCGAAGCCTTTTTAATCCGTTCGTGCGCCTTTGCGACCGTGAACAAGCCATATATATTTTTTTCGAGCTCGTTTTCCTTTGCGAGCCGTGGCGATGGTTTCGACGAGCGACGCCTGGGATTCTTTGGATTTCTTGGTGCTTGACGGTAAGCTTATGTAATCATTTTGTTTACAGAAATGTATAATTAATTGTAGCATTCACATTAGTAAAACCTATCAAGACGTTAGGACCGCGAGATCGAACCGTTCATGCTTTGAACTGCCGTCATGCCGCGGACCTCGGCGCGACTCGGACCTCGGGGAGTTGGAGCATAGCGTTATTGCTGGCTGCGAACACGGTCGAGCATCGCGCTTTTAAGAGTGTGCTTCAGAGTAGTAGCGAGAGCTCCGGTTGAGTGACGACGGATCACGGCAGCGGTATGCTCAAACTCCACGCGCCCGAGATGTGCTCGGGCAGTGTGCTCGGGCAGATTTGAGGTCGCACAAAGAACTGCAACTTCATTGCACATGAAAGAAAAAAAAAAAAAAAAGTGAGTACGACAGTGTGCTAGTGCGGTGGAAAGGCGGAGGCCCATGCAGCGGTCCCCCCCAGGAATTAAAATTAAATGTGGTGTCTAGAAATTTTTTTTCCTTTTTTTTTGGGGGGGGGGGGGGGGGCAGGGGGAGGGGCAGGCTTGGCGAGGCGGGAGGCGGCATTGAGGTTTAGAAAAACAAGGGGGGGGGGTGTAGGGAAATCACTGGGCCTATGCACCTGGTGTGCCTACCGAACTGACCTATCATAGCCCCAACAAATAAAAATAAAGGGGGGGGGGGTGAAGAAGGATGACTACAACAATCATTTTACACAAGACGACAAGTTAAACAACCTTAAATGGCATGCGCTACATTATGCTGTAGTTTGCGAATGTCCTCTCTGCTGGCAGGAATCACAGCAGTCAGGGAGTCGGGCAGGTTTCTAAGTAGACATGACCGTGCTCGCTTGCGCTAGAGCTTACTGCCATTAGTTCGGTAAAATTACAATGCGGGTAAGCAAAAAATGTGCCAGGCGCACTGCGCTTTAAACCGCCCAGTGGCGAAGAAAGAAAGAAAGACTCAATATAGGAATTCTTTCAACGACTTCGCCTTACAATACAAGCCGTTTTCAATAATGTCAATCATGAGCACGAACTGTTAAAATGCAGCTTTAATTAACTCTGCCCCATGTGATCACGAGTGGCACAAACGCATTATTGAGTAGCAGTGTCTGGAAAAACATGAACTATGCTAATTCTGTTTAGGAACAAAATTTCATTACAAAGTGACATATTGCTAAAAATAGCTTCTTTGTCCTATATCGAGAATTCAATGTTGACCGATACTTGGACATACACGAGTCGTAAGCATTGATCGTCTTTTTTATTCCTTTCAGAATCGATGTCCTACGTGCATCCTAAGGAGGTGTCAATGTGGGAGGACAATATGAAGTCGTGGCCACCCATAGAGAAGCCGGATATCGTCTTCTACTTGGTCCACTCAAAGGCCTGCGATCTTCAGGAGGTCAGAGCGTACAAGAGCCTAGAGTCGTATCTCTACCTGACAAGCGGCCTCGTGGGAACTGTCCTTCACCACAGAATAAGCGACCAGCTGGGCTACTTCAAAGCAGAAGTGGGTAGATCCCAGTCCTTTAATGCTGCTCCACACAAGGCATGGGCATGCGTGCACACCACTGGTCGGGTAGTTACAGGAGGCTGTTCCTGCATGGCTGGCCAGGCAAAGGTGTGTAGCCATGGTGGGGCCATCTTGTGGAAGATGGAGCATGCCTTTGCGAACAAAATGACGGGCACAGCTGGCACCGACGAAGCTGCCGCCTGGAACCGAGGTACCAATAAAAACGTAACGCCAACAAGCCTCGACAACATTTCATTTGGAGAGAATGAGCCAAACAGAAATTCTTGGGACCGTAGATGTGCTGCAGTTTCACACACATGAAGAGTACCTTCATCACATTGAAGACGGCCCCCTTGCAGGGCTCAAAAAAATACCAGGGACCTTGTTTCATGAGACACTGATGGCACCTCCACGAGACCCTCCAGCAGCACAAGACCCTTCAGCAGTTCAATGCGACGCAATACCTCTTGCTCACAGCAGCCACGAAGATGCGACCACCCTTCCAAACAGCTGCCCTGCCTGCTGGGAGGCATACAACGAGCTTGTTGCCATCAGTGCACCTAGTATGGACCTGCTCTGCAAAAAAACAGCGGACCAAGGCAGCTGCACACTCTGGCACGAGAGCCGCCGCATGCGGTTAGCGTCGTCGATGGTTAAAAGAATACCAATACTGGCATCAACTGACCCTTCCAAGGCTGTGAAGGACATACTTCACCCATCCTTTCGAGGGAATCAAGCGACGGAGCACGGCCGCCGCAGTGAGCCCAAAGCTAGGAGGAAATTTATGCTTGACCACCATTGCACCGTGCGACAAACGGGCCTGGTTGTTTGTCCGGAGCTTCCATGGCTCGCAGCCAGCCCCGATGGCATCATTGATGGAATTGACGCTCTTTTAGAGATAAAGTGCCCGAATGTATTGAACTGTGAAGACCTTCTAAATTCCGGAAAATACGACATAAAAAAGAATGGCAATGGCATTTTCGAGCTGCAACCAAAGGGAAGAAACAAGTTCTATTATCAAGTTCAGTCTGCAATGCACTGCACTGGAAAGACCGTCTGCCACCTCTATGTGTGGTCAGAGGGCCATGACGAGGTTGTAGTTGTCCCCTACAACAAGGACTTCATGAAGTGCCACCTACAAAGAGTGAAGAACTTCTACTTCAAGAGCCTGTTGCCGGCGTTTGTGGAGGACGTTAACTCTGGAAAGATAACGCTCTCAAATGAGTACAAGCAGCTTGCACGTATGTAATGGACCGAGGCGGACAGGCAGTGCAGTATTCTTTATTTTTTTATACAATGTGTGATGCTTGAAAGTTTTGGCAGTAACAAGTTTGATTGATCAAAAGATAGAGGTACACTTAAGCATTCCTTATGAGTTGTGAATGCGAAAGCATGCAAGCCGCTCGTCCGCTCCCTTATTCGTCCCTCAATGTAGATTAAAATCTACATTGAAATCCCACCGCGCCGTGAAAATTGGAACCCACTAATTATTCCAAAACTTAAGGTTTGACCTGAATAGCGAAATATTGAGCCCGCAAAAAATAAGTTATTTACAGTATATAGAGTTGAACAGGTGATTGCCGACGGCCCCATACTGGCAGTACCATGGAGTGAAGGCCAAAGCTGCTTGCTTGCCTTGTGAACGACACGTGACAAGGCGTGGAATGAGGACAGTAAGCTGCCATGGCCACTTCTCCAGGGTGCTGCCAGTATACAGTTGTCAGCAATCACCTTTTCACCTTCATATGGGCAAAGTGTTGGGGAGAACATTACTTTTTGATTAAAGGCCCCTTCAGGTTGCACAACCCTGCACATACAAAAACTATGTCGCTTGCAACCTTGCGATGGTGTATGGGGAGTGCTTGCTTCAAAATCCTGTAGGATTTTATCCTATTTATTGCCCGCTCTACGTGAATTCGGACAGACACAATCCTCCTAGTCTCCGTCACCTCTTGTTCGGATAACTGAGCCTTCCCTCGCGTGAAGGCTGGCGTGTTGAGTGCTACTCCCTTCGCTTCCATCTCGGGGTCAAGAGAAAAACCCCTGTCGGCCATCACATGATCGCCACGTTCAAAGTGTGAAATGATTCCAGAGTCTCTTACAATATGCTTGTCAGACGCTCGTCCACCGTAGACCTTGGACACGAACATCACCGATCCGTGAGGTGCAATAGCCACCAAAAACTTCACAGTGTTGTGGCCTTTGTATGAGCTATACGTCTGTGCCCGAGCGAGCAATTTTTTCGGTCGCTGCAAGAACACCTCAGTGCAATCCAAGATGCAAGTAGTACCTGCAAAACCATTCTCCTCAAAGGATCGCGGAATGTTTCTGAAGATAGTGTCTCGAGAGAGCCACACCACTACATTCCTTAGGACTTGCCCTAGTGTAGCAAGCATGGCGCGAAAAATGTTCCCTACAGTTGAAACCGAAACCGCAAACCTCCTCGACAGATCGCCATATATAAGGCCGAGCCTCAACTTCATTAGCGTGAGCAAAAGCTGCTGCTCAACAGGCATCATAAAATTTGTTGTAGCAAACTGTGGCACAACTTTCACCAACTCCTTGAAGACGTCTGCGTGGAGACCGGTATAAAAAAAGATGTCTCGATTCTCAAGGCTATAGCCACTATGAAGAGCAGGAGTTGCAGCTGGAGCTTTGGGTTTCGAGTAGGCGTGGTCGCGATGACATGTGTCTTCCCGCTGGACCCCCTGGCGGCACACATCTGACCGAATTTGGCTGCCATGATCAGTTGCCTGTAAACAAAATCAGTCTATCAATTGAGACAACATGCTTATCGCGTTAAGCAGACCAGGCTTCTGCTCACATCGATTCGGTTTTGAATTAAACCTACTGTGTGCTCAGGAGTAGACTCCCATGATGTTGAGGCCAAATCGCTGTCGACAATTTGCTCGACCTCTTGCATGTAGTCGGTGCTCTGAAAGGAACAAGTTTTTATCCCAAGCACGCAAGATATGTTTCTCACATTAAGTAGATCCTGTTGCTGCTTACGTCACTTAGATTATGTATTGGACCTACCGAGTGTTCAGGAACAGCTGGCCCTGAAGTTGAGGCTAAAGAGATGATCTGCTCGACCTCTTGCGAGGAGTCAGTGCTCTGAAAAAAATGCAACAGCATTTTATGGCCACTAAAATAAGTTAGCATGCTTGATATGTTTATTAAATTAAGGGGCCCTGCAACAACTTTTTGACTGGTTTTTAATTTGCACCGAACCTGAGCGGACTGAACGTAGTAACTTAATGAAACTTTTCTTTTCTCGAATTTCGCTTTATTTTAGAAGTTATAGGCAAATAAAAATTACAAAAACAAGCAAAAAAATAACCTCCTTCATGACGTCGTTGGTCGTGGCTTGAGCGATTGTGAACTAGAGGAGAGGTAGTGAGTTCAGCGAGCCCTCACGGCTGTCGCACTCCGTGTCAACAGCTCGAGGGGGCGCCACTAAAGCATGTGTTGGATAGGCTGTAAGAAGCGGGCGTTCAGGGCGGCTTGCATTGCATCTGCTGCGCAATTAAAGACTCATTCGGCACTTCATTGGCCACAAATGACAGCAAATACGGGGTAAAGATCGGTTCAGAACAGGAGCCACTTCGCGCTGCCACACCGCCAAACGGCCAAATCGCAAGCCAAACCTGTGCCGAAGGCCTTCGGAATGCTCGGAACCGGTAGGATCCTCAAGCCGGTTACGACTGTAGCGCCACCGCGTACATCCGGGACCTTTCTACGCTCGCCGCTCGTCAATGCCCGATCCCACTACCCCTTCCTAGTATCCGCCGCCTTTTCCACCGCTTGGTGGCGGGTATGTCGACGGGTCATTTCTTGTTTCTGTACTTTATAAACTGCATTGGTTTCTTTTCTGATCTAAAATACTAAAAAACTACTCTCACAAAATAATTGAAACGGTTCGCGCCACTTATATTTTGTATTTCGACTAAAAAGAAGCTTTTCGCGGCTCTGACCAGTAGTTAGGCCACGACCAAAGACCTCACATATCGCGCGCTTTCGGCACCGCGGGTCGCCCCCGTATGTGGAGGAGGTTTCCGCGTCGTCCCGTTAAAATAGGACGCAATGATATTAAGTAACTCTATCCGTGCCCGCTGGCTTGCCCGAACCCCAAGAGACGTGGAAACCGCAAAAAAGTTAGACGCTTAAATATGATTGCAGGGCCCCTTTAAGCAGATTACGCTGCTGCTCACATTAATTGAAGTATGTATTAAACGTACCGAGTGTTTAGAAGTAGCTGGCTCTGATATGGAGGCCAAGGCGATGATGCACTCGACTTCTTCTGTGGAGCTGGTGCTCTGAAATAAATGGAACAATGTTTTATGCCCAATAATTGGGGTTCCTTGTTTCGGAGTTTATTTTTCATTAAATTCAAAGGATGGTTTTCAGAGTTTATTTTTTGCCGAAGATTCTGAGTTTATATTTGTTTGATTCACAATTCTCGGAAATTCTGAGCTTAATTTTGCAGTGTTTCCTATTAAAAACAAATAAATAAATAATAACCAGATGTAAACGTGTGCCAGATAAAAAATAAAACGTGCTTGTATCATTTAAAATTTCTTCAGTTGAGTTTGGCGCAGGTGCCACTGCCATTGGCAATACTAATTTGTCCCACGACAAAAGTCGCACACAAGTGTTGCTTCGATAAAAGTCGGTACCTTAGAATCAATAAAGTCCAGGGGGTAGTGGCTAGGAAGCTCGTAGTCATACCCACCTATTTCATCAATCTAGAACGCGGCCGCGCGAGGTGGAGTGGTTAAGGATGTAATAGAGAAGTTTCAACTGCCCCTCTTCCCTATTTTATACAATCTTTATGGTCCATAGCTTTCACCGTTACAAAAACATATCCTCTCCTTTCTCTAAATTCCAAATCGCATGGCTCAAACCAGAAACCAAAAGAGTGGCTTTTGTCGTGACCCGTATCTACAATGCCCTGTTGCCCTGAATCAACCTTGACGAGGCAAGCAGTAAGACCCCATTTGACAACGGTTCGAAATTTGAAAGATAATTATGGTGGCATTTACCCAGGAACATGAACCCTGCGCTGATGAAATTGTAAAAAAAAAGTTTTTTCACTATTTTCTTTTTTTTTTCCGGGAAGGGGGGAGCGGCATTGGCACATAAAAATTCGGTGTTTATCGGATAAATCCAAATTGACCAGAATGTTACCGGCGGGTAATGTTCTGAGTTTTTCGAATTTATCCCAAAACACAGAACCCTACCAATAATGTAAGTTACCATGCCAGATATGTTTATCCTAATAAGCAGACCATGCTGCAGCTTGCATTAGTTAGGTTGTGTAATGAACTTGCCGAGTGTTCAGGAGCAGCTGGCCCTGATGTTGATGCCAAAGCGATCTTGTGCTCGGCAGTGGAGTCGGTGCTCTGAAAGGAATGCAACAGCTTTTTATTCGGGGTGTGCAAATATTGATAATCTCGAATTCGAATCGAATATCAAGGGAAAGCACCTCCGAGTATTATACTGATTATTGAATATGTGAGCAGTATGGAAAAATGAAAAAAAAACAAAAACGAACAAGCGAATAATTTTGTTTTTATTATATTTTGGCCCAGTGATGACCTTTTATATTAGGAAGTAAATAAAACGATCTGTCTAGGCAGCATGTAAAAAAAATCTTCTAAATAGTCATTGCAACTTGACCAGTGATTACCCACATAAAAGGAGTAAATAAAACAATAAAACAGTCCATCAGTCCATAACTAAACAGCATAACAAAGATGCAACTGAAAATATGGTCTCAGAAATAGACTGGTATGACCTTAGAGTATGAAGGATACAACTGATACTGTGGCCATAGATAGATGACATTTAAAAATATACCAGAATATGACTATACCCGTTTTCACCTCAAGAAAAAAGCAGGTTTTGCGCATTGTTCACATGCGGTGCAAAGTAGTTCTTATGACATTTGCTTGTCGGAGGAAACAGCAATGCTTTTGGTGTTTGGAAGGTGCGTGTCTTGATAAGATAACATAGATCTAATCTAAAATTCACTTACATGTATCTTAATTATCCACATAAAGAAGGAAATTAGTAATGCTCCGCAAGGAGTCTGACTTTTTTTACCACGGCTCTTGAGGTGAAACAAGTATAGATAATACATATCAGATGTAACTTACAATTGAGTCATGCAAATTGATTGGCAAAACAAAGTGAAAAAGAAACCGAAACTACTCTGGTCTCATGAGGCAGATTTTGTGAAGTTTTTTTTTTACGTTCAACGAAAACGGATACCTAGCTTTCAGCAAATAAACATATTCTTATATACTTCAGATTTTTCAGGGCATGTGCAGGGTACAGATAATTTGCTACTTGACCCAATATTCGCGGTTTGTCCGAATATTTGGCCGCGGCTGAATAATCGGGAACTTCTGAGCAGGCGATTCTCCAATCGAGTATGATTAGAATAAGGGATTTATTCAATTTAAATTTGAATACTCGCACACCCCTACTTTTTATAGCCACTAAAATAAGCTAGGATGCAAGATATGTTTATCATATTAAGACGATTATGCTGCTGCTCACATCAATTCAGGTATGTATTAAATGTACCGTGTGTTCAGAAGTAGCTGGCTCTGATGTGGAGGCCAAGGCGATGACGTGCTCAACTACTTGTGTGTAGCTGGTGCTCTGAAACAAATGCAACAATGTTTTATGCCCAATAATATAAGTTACCATGCCAGACATGTTTATCCTAATAAACAGACCATGCTGCAGCTTGCATTAATTAGGTTGTGCAATAAACCTACCGAGTGTTCAGGAGCAGCTAGCGCTGATGTTGATGCCAGAGCGATCATGTGTTCGGCAGTAGAGTCGCTGCTCTGAAAGGAGTGCAACAGCTTTTCACACTCAATGCCACAAAATAGTGCTGGACGTCGAATTTTAGGCATGCGAAGTTCGAGCTCTGAAACTAAAGAGAAATCGTGTCCTGCATAACCCCTGTGGCACTGGAGGCAATACATGTGTGCTCTCAGGGGCAGATTTAGAGGGGGGGTCCGGATGTCCTGACCCCCCTCTTGATTTCTGTGTGTGTAAAATTTAGGGCGTAAAACGAAGGAGAGGGGAAGGGGGTTCCTAAACATATGGTACGCTGACCAACACCTGACCTCCCCCCTCAGGAAATTCCTGCATCCGCCCCTGTGTGTTCTAAGGATCAACTCACAATTCCACATCCAGCTCCAGAAGACAGTTTCTTCCTCTGCAACGAAAATTATAATAGTATGTTTGTTCAGATCACAGACGAAAGCCAAGAACCAGTATTCAATCATGTCAGCGCTTACCTTTGTGGTCAGTGGTTCGCAACTGGCATCACGCACCAAACGGCGCCTCCCAACGACAACCTGTCAGAGAGCATTAGCGTTTTGGGCGTACTGTGTGTATCAGAACTGAGACACTAGTGTGATTAGGGTCACACTTACCTTACGCGCATACCCGAGAGAGAGCTGCGGGACGATATTTTCGTCCGTCTTCTCTCCAGCCACGAAATGGGCCGAACATACCTGGAATCGGGCATGAATGTTACGCAACAGGTAACGACAGCGATAAAGTTACGTTCCACGATAAAGAGATGTTCTACTGACCCGAGTATGTTCTGTGGGCGTGAAATCCTTGCGGTTCAGCGCGGAGAGCCACCTTCCTTTCAATACCGGATCCTTGGGGAAGCGGTGGAACTTCACCACCCCGCAATTACATGACATTTGTTGGTGGACAGCGCACAACTCCTGTCTTTGATTTTTTCTCTTTCGATGATTGTTTGAACATCCGAAAACAGCGCAGTGTACTCCCGACGACCTAGTTGGGTTATCCATCGTGCAGTCTACACGAAGTGCCTTGAAAAGAGCACAAGCGGGAAGAGCGCAGAACCGGCAGAACGCGAAAACAGAGACACAAAACCACCAGACAAAAGAACGACGAAAAAGACCTCGACAACCTCTGAGCAACGCCACAGAGCAGGAACCTTGACTCTCGTTTGAGACGATGCTCGGTGGATGGATAAATAGTAGCTGTACCGTTGTACTCTTTTTAACAGGCGGTAGCTTGCGCCACCTCTCTCTAAGGATAATCGTGAGAGTGGAGCGATCGTCCTAGTTTGAGAGTAGGCCTCCATTCGGCGCGCCCATCGCGCGGTTCGAGGCTAAGTCGGTACTGAATCTCGAATTCTCGAATAATCTCGAATTCGAATCGAATATCAAGGGAAAGCACCTCCGAGTATTATACTGATTATTGAATATGTGAGCAGTATGGAAAAATGAAAAAAAAAAAACGAACAAGCGAATAATTTTGTTTTTATTATTTTTTGGCCCAGTGATGACCTTTTATATTAGGAAGTAAATAAAACGATCTGTCTAGGCAGCATGTAAAAAAAAATCTTCTAAATAGTCATTGCAACTTGACCAGTGATTACCCACATAAAAGGAGTAAATAAAACAATAAAACAGTCCATCAGTCCATAACTAAACAGCATAACAAAGATGCAACTGAAAATATGGTCTCAGAAATAGACTGGTATGACCTTAGAGTATGAAGGATACAACTGATACTGTGGCCATAGATAGATGACATTTAAAAATATACCAGAATATGACTATACCCGTTTTCACCTCAAGAAAAAAGCAGGTTTTGCGCATTGTTCACATGCGGTGCAAAGTAGTTCTTATGACATTTGCTTGTCGGAGGAAACAGCAATGCTTTTGGTGTTTGGAAGGTGCGTGTCTTGATAAGATAACATAGATCTAATCTAAAATTCACTTACATGTATCTTAATTATCCACATAAAGAAGGAAATTAGTAATGCTCCGCAAGGAGTCTGACTTTTCTTACCACGGCTCTTGAGGTGAAACAAGTATAGATAATACATATCAGATGTAACTTACAATTGAGTCATGCAAATTGATTGGCAAAACAAAGTGAAAAAGAAACCGAAACTACTCTGGTCTCATGAGGCAGATTTTGTGAAGTTTTTTTTTACGTTCAACGAAAACGGATACCTAGCTTTCAGCAAATAAACATATTCTTATATACTTCAGATTTTTCAGGGCATGTGCAGGGTACAGATAATTTGCTACTTGACCCAATATTCGCGGTTTGTCCGAATATTTGGCCGCGGCTGAATAATCGGGAACTTCTGAGCAGGCGATTCTCCAATCGAGTATGATTAGAATAAGGGATTTATTCAATTTAAATTTGAATACTCGCACACCCCTACTTTTTATAGCCACTAAAATAAGCTAGGATGCAAGATATGTTTATCATATTAAGACGATTATGCTGCTGATCACATCAATTCAGGTATGTATTAAATGTACCGTGTGTTCAGAAGTAGCTGGCTCTGATGTGGAGGCCAAGGCGATGACGTGCTCAACTACTTGTGTGTAGCTGGTGCTCTGAAACAAATGCAACAATGTTTTATGCCCAATAATATAAGTTACCATGCCAGACATGTTTATCCTAATAAACAGACCATGCTGCAGCCTGCATTAATTAGGTTGTGCAATAAACCTACCGAGTGTTCAGGAGCAGCTAGCGCTGATGTTGATGCCAGAGCGATCATGTGTTCGGCAGTAGAGTCGCTGCTCTGAAAGGAGTGCAACAGCTTTTCACACTCAATGCCACAAAATAGTGCTGGACGTCGAATTTTAGGCATGCGAAGTTCGAGCTCTGAAACTAAAGAGAAATCGTGTCCTGCATAACCCCTGTGGCACTGGAGGCAATACATGTGTGCTCTCAGGGGCAGATTTAGAGGGGGGGTCCGGATGTCCTGACCCCCCTCTTGATTTCTGTGTGTGTAAAATTTAGGGCGTAAAACGAAGGAGAGGGGGAGGGGGTTCCTAAACATATGGTACGCTGACCAACACCTGACCTCCCCCCTCAGGAAATTCCTGCATCCGCCCCTGTGTGTTCTAAGGATCAACTCACAATTCCACATCCAGCTCCAGAAGACAGTTTCTTCCTCTGCAACGAAAATTATAATAGTATGTTTGTTCAGATCACAGACGAAAGCCAAGAACCAGTATTCAATCATGTCAGCGCTTACCTTTGTGGTCAGTGGTTCGCAACTGGCATCACGCACCAAACGGCGCCTCCCAACGACAACCTGTCAGAGAGCATTAGCGTTTTGGGCGTACTGTGTGTATCAGAACTGAGACACTAGTGTGATTAGGGTCACACTTACCTTACGCGCATACCCGAGAGAGAGCTGCGGGACGATATTTTCGTCCGTCTTCTCTCCAGCCACGAAATGGGCCGAACATACCTGGAATCGGGCATGAATGTTACGCAACAGGTAACGACAGCGATAAAGTTACGTTCCACGATAAAGAGATGTTCTACTGACCCGAGTATGTTCTGTGGGCGTGAAATCCTTGCGGTTCAGCGCGGAGAGCCACCTTCCTTTCAATACCGGATCCTTGGGGAAGCGGTGGAACTTCACCACCCCGCAATTACATGACGTTTGTTGGTGGACAGCGCACAACTCCTGTCTTTGATTTTTTCTCTTTCGATGATTGTTTGAACATCCGAAAACAGCGCAGTGTACTCCCGACGACCTAGTTGGGTTATCCATCGTGCAGTCTACACGAAGTGCCTTGAAAAGAGCACAAGCGGGAAGAGCGCAGAACCGGCAGAACGCGAAAACAGAGACACAAAACCACCAGACAAAAGAACGACGAAAAAGACCTCGACAACCTCTGAGCAACGCCACAGAGCAGGAACCTTGACTCTCGTTTGAGACGATGCTCGGTGGATGGATATATAGTAGCTGTACCGTTGTACTCTTTGTAACAGGCGGTAGCTTGCGCCACCTCTCTCTAAGGATAATCGTGAGAGTGGAGCGATCGTCCTAGTTTGAGAGTAGGCCTCCATTCGGCGCGCCCATCGCGCGGTTCGAGGCTAAGTCGGTACTGATGATGATTGCGCTTGCAAACGTGTATAGGTGTTGCAATTACAAAGCAATACATTAAAAATCCCCTTCGTCCACTTTTAGGCAATTGCATCCATATACCGATGCTACAACGGTCAACAACAGGGAGAAATCTGGCATTTTGAGAGCACCACCTTTCAGAGACATCTGAGTCTGTTTAATTATCTGTTTCCTCGGACCTTTCGCGTTAAAATCACAGAACACATATAGCATCGTGGGTGTAAGTTTGTGGTTTTGCTGTGGTTTATTGTAATTTGATAAATTATCAGGATTTTGTATGTTCTTAAAGCCTTAAACAGACTGTTTGTCCTTCTAATGCTGCTGTTGTTTTCGATATAAAATTCATAAAAAGCAAGCTGGATTAAAAAATAAATACGCGGCGAGTTTTTTGTAATTATTTTAAAACCACTTGAAATGAGTAGCATTTATATATCACATGGAACATCATGGTATCACCTGCCGTCACGACGCCATAATGTCACATTGCCAGGTGAGGTGATAGTGCCACTTGACGTTACAGTGTACCGTGACAAACACCACCCTGATGACGTCCGTGAACACAGTGATGTCATCACGGTTTTCAACGAATGAACTTAAAATGAAATTTTAAAAATCCGGATGACGATAACGCGAGCACCGTGATCTTCCCTGGATGACTTCACCATCGAAGCTACATGCCGCCGCCATTTAAGCGCTGAAGGCAGGCCCTATTGATGAAATTCATTTAAAATTTCACGAGCACGATGCCATTGTTTTGCACAATAGTCACCCAAAAGTTAGGTAGAGTATTTTGCCGAAATGAGAGGCACCAATTGTGCTTGGCTGTTTTCAAGATGTGTGTTAATCGTTGCGGTTAAAAATAATCGCGATGTAGCCGATAAAACTTCTGGAAAACCACCTTTTTGGTTTCTACTAAAACATGCGAGTCCTTAATGCTCACACAAACGGCCTTCAGCTCAAACATCGTTACCGAATACCGCCCAATCCTTACCAGCAACGGGTTCTTCTCGATTCACGGTATATATTCATTACGTGAGATCTTGCGCACTCTTACGCAACTTGTTCAGTTGTTTGTTTTAATGCGAAAACATCAACTGTCACATGGTGCGAGCCGATGTCATCAGCTTTGAAGCCGCTCCAAATGTCACATTAAATCCTTTCTCCAAGTGAAGCCAGCTCCTAGCTATGAAACCACGCGAAAAGCCTAGCCAAGCGGCCTCTAGTTTCCCCGATCCCAAAGGGCGGATTAAAGGTGATGGATTCCGGCTTCGACCCCATTGGCTGGCGCGCGTCGACGAGGCTCCCATTGACCGCTGCGCGTTAGTTTCAACGACCGCCACCCCATGGCGCTGCCTGTCTGTCAGCGCGCGGCTAACACGAAACGTCTAAGGTCAGAGTGGCGAGAAGAGGGCGCGCTCCGCCATCGACGCAAATACGCTGCAGACGAATAAGGGAGCGGAAGAATGACGTGCATGAATTCACAACTCATAAAATGTGCTTAGTTCTACCTCGAGAGATTTTTAATCTCCACTTACTCTAAAGGGTATTTATTTTTTCACGTTAGAAGTTTTACATTGAGCACACTGTAATTGTTTGTCAGCACAGGCGATAGAAATGTTTTCATTGGAATCCTTCTGGTTGTTTGTCATCCCCAATATAATTCTTTCATATATAAACAGAACGAGACATCCGGCTCAAGTGTGTGATATTTTTATAATATATTTTTTATTTCCAGGTTCATCATTATATTAAAACAAATCTCAACAAGCAAATTTTCTCGTATTATGTTTTATTTCTGCAATTTTGTTTAAAGGAAACCTATTTTGCTCTCTGTTAAGTACTATCCAGGCCTTACGGATTTGAATTTTGAGGATCCCAGTGTCTCTGTTCAGATCTCGTGTGCCTCAAACCGAAGATCCGTCACGCCTATCTGAAAGCTTTCACGGTTGAGACATTCGCAGTACACCGTAGAACTCCATTCAGAGCAGTGGAAAACACGAAAGTGTTGAAAAAGGAAATCTTCAAGTTCGGCTCAAAACTGAATTTCTCCTTGCGCTCCAGCCTCTTTTACCTTCTCTTTTTTATCCTGTCATCCTTTCTTTTCATCTTTTGAATAGACACATTTTTCCTGTACAAAGAAGACTTCCGTTTGATCCCTATGTTTTATGCATTTCTATGTCTACTTCGTCGTGGATGCCTTGCGAAGACCAAGACAGACACTGGAAAATATTCACAAAAATATATTTGCCGCAACTACCGAATTGAAAAGAGGCTCAGAGGCTTAGGGTTTTATGTAACATGAACATTCTGGGGCCTTTTTGGGACTACATCTTAAAGAAAGCCGTACACGCGTCAAGGGACACAAGAAATGGGCGAGTAAAAAAATTGTAAAAAACTAGAGAAAATACGAATCATTCTAATAGAAGCCTCGGGTTTCTCCTTAGATGCAGCTGAACATAAGATGTGCCCGCCCAGCTTTGAATGACTTCTCTACTCCCGCGGTCAAAGCGTACTATCCGCCAAAAGATCAGGACTTAATATTTGTTTTAAGTTTCCCACAGGAAAGAGAGACGCATTCAACCAGCGGTTGAAAGCGTCTCTTTCGTTTTCCCCAGATTTGTAAGCTTGGTTTGTTGAGCTGGTGTCCCCTAAATATGTTTTAAGTTTTTGGGCTTGCCGATATGTTTACCCGAAAGAGTTATTTTAAGCACTCCCTAAAGCGGTTCTTCGTGAAAAACCTCTAATGGACCATTTAATGTCATTTGTTTATGTGAAAGTGTTCTTCATCACTCATTTGCTTTTCTAGTTCGCCAGGGAGCGATAGTGCTCGAGGCGAAACCGTCCTGCACGAGCTGAAAGAGTTCTTGAGGCGTCGTAGGAGCTGCGAGCTGGTGGGACCATTCAGAAAGCGCCAAAAGAGCAACCATCATGGTGTTTGTCGTGTTTCTGTACGTGTTCTACAATCGCTGAAGCATTCATAAACCGAAAAGGCCTACCGACCTACGCTTTGGACTCTGCTTGATCGGTCCCGTACCCTCGTACAGCCTGCCTCCTCTGAACTAATCCTGAAACCAAATATGTTCGAAGACGCGCTATTGGCACTGCGTTCGGTGTTAATCTGTGTTATCTAAATATTACGAGAACATTTTTATGTGAAACTAGGCTGCACTCGCCTAGTTCAGGCTCTCCCTTCGCTCGAACTGGCGAAGTGGATTTGAAGAGAGAGAAAAAAAACCGTCTTATTCTTGGTGTCACTTTAAATCCGACCCCCAGCCGACCCTACAGTACTAGGTAGCCAATCGACGCGCCCCCAAAATGCATCGTCACGACGTTCGTTGCCTTTGTGTGCCTACAATCACCGCACAAAACCATCTCAGCACAATAAGAAATAAATACGGCAGTACATTTAAGACTGCATAGGTGTCGCAATGCAAAAGCATTCATACACGCACCGTATTGCTACAAGCATGGCGCCCCGCTGCCCGCGGCGCGGAGTACAGCAGGCAGCGAGTTCCGCTTTTCTTCGCGGCGCAAAAAGGTTGAAGGCAGAGCGCCGAGTCATAGCCTCCCCTATACTCACAAAGCCTGGCGGTTCGAAAACGGAGCCATAGGGTGCCGGTCGCAGAATCGGAGCGTGAGGTTATAGTAGCACAGAGAATCAGAGGGCCATTTCTTGGGGAACCTGGGCGGCAGCGCACAGCTTTTGCAGCGGCGAGGACCAGAAACCAGACTTGTACGTAACTTAAACACTCTACTGAAGTCACCGTATTTTACACTCTTGTGAGTAACTTGGTATCTTGCAAATACATTCGAACGTCAGTAATTAGTACTGTAACTTCAAGTGACTTGTACTCACTTTAAAGTTACTTTTAAGTTACTTTCTATTTTTATTTTCTTCAAAGGCGGGAAGCTTGGGAAATATCGAGCTCCACTTATTTTGGCTAGGCGCACTGTCATTGCAGACACATTTCGTGCCAGCTCTTCCTTCGGCACAATGTCGCGGTGCCTTTGAGCGCGTACGTTGAACGGCTATTCAGCATCGGCGGACATGTATTTAAAAAGAAAATAAATAAAAATAAAACAGGGGCAGGCTATCGGACACAAATTTCGAAAAGCAGCTGTTCCTGCGAGGGAACAAAGCTTTTAGGTAATGGTGTTTTGATTTTCATTTTCGCAAGTAAATAAAGGTTGATTGAATGACGTTTTAATTTTTCTTTCATTCGTAGTTACTAAGGACCTCATAGAAACCTTAGTGGCAGCCAAAGTCTAGATAACAAATTTTCTGGAGATTCCATAGTAGCTGGGAGGAAGAATTTTTTCTGACTTCGGTTGTGCTTGACTATGAATTGCAGACCAAATTGTAACTTGAGAGTTTCTTGAAATTAACAAGTTACTTTTTGGAGTATTTTGTACTTTACTGAATTACTTTACAAATTTCAGCATTTAGTACTCTACTCAGTTACTATTTTTTTGTGGTACTCAGTAACTTTACTTATATACTTTTAGTGAGTATCTTGTACAAGCCTGCCCGATACACTCTTCTTCGCTCGGAAGAAGTGTGTTTCGGCGTTTCGCCGCCGCGGGGCGCCAGTCACGTGGCTCTCCCACGTGACTGGCGTCACGTGGGAGAGTCGAGAGACTGAGTTGCGGTGAGCGGACGTGTTTCCTGGTTCTCCTCGAGCATCCGAAGCTAAGTGCCAGTTTTTCTTCTTTTCTCTC